GGAATGCCCGAGATTTTATCAAGCTACTCAGAATGGCACACAATTTAAAAGTTATTCATTGTTTATTTTTGGAATTTTCCATTTAATATTTTCAGACCATGGCTGATTGTGAGTAACTGAAATCACAGAAAATGAAACTATGGTAAGGGGGGGACTACTGTGTGTACATGTGTTAAGCTGAAGTAAGTGTTTTTGGTATCATATCGACAGAATCTCTGAATATTAGCACTTTATAGTTTTCTTGCACTTAAAAAAACCTGAAGAACCTATTCATCCCTATAAAATTCACTGTTCAAAGGTATGAACAAATTGTGTTTCCACTAAAATTATTACAGTGTCATTTAGAGCAATTACATATACTGAAGATGTATCAGAATTTGCTTTACTGACTTACGAACAGCTGAGGGTGGAGCAGCTCATTTTCATGACAACACATCGCAAATATAAATCTTAACACTAGACTCAGGTTATTATACTATGTGTGCTTTAAGTCATGAATTTACAAAATAATTTCAACACGACATTTTAGGCTGTTTAAATACTTATTTCAAAACAGAGATTTTATAGACTGACACAGTTTCAGTGTTCATAATACTCCTAAAGAAATATTTATAAGTTACATTGATGGTACTTTATTTAAAACATCACATAAGAATCTTTAACTTTCACAAATAAAACTTTTTTGGAGGGGAAACCTCTCTTACAGAATTTATTATGAAATAGTTTAATGGCAAAAGGCAATTAAAAAGAATTAAGATTTTTACATATTACATAAGAGATAATAAAAAATTGGATATGATATATTCTTTTTTTTTTGGATATGATATATTCTTAAAGGCCCTTTGACACAAATAATTTTCATAATTTGACTGTAAGGATTAATATACATTGAGTTACTATTATCAAATTAATTTTAAAAGTAAAATTCCTTAATCAACCCAAGATTATGCTAATTTTAAGAAATTAATCAGGTAGTTTAACACTGGAGCTCATTAACCAATCCCATATGTCGCACAAAATATTTCTCTCTGATAAATATCTATAAATATAATTTATTCATACTTTAAAATATTTTAAAATTTAAATAAAAATCTCTACATGTAGACAGTCTAGGCTAATTTCCATATAAGCATTGAAAAATATATGCTAGCATGAATATATTCTTATTTAAACATGGTTTTAAATATTCTTAATAAAGGAGACATAGAATCTGCACACAAAAGCTAGGTAGCATGATTCAGTCAATGATTAATTTCCTCTTAGGAAAAAAATTACTTAATTATTTTGCATAGGATTAAAACTAGGTATATTTTCTACATTCTTATAATTTTCTCAGGGGCGCGTCTCAAAATACAGTTAAGGAAACAAAAAAATCCCATTACTTTAAAGTTCCCACTACTTTCTTACATCTAGCAAAAGCAGAATTCAGTCCTACTTCTGAGGCCAGAATAATGATTTTTAAAGAATGATTATGAGAAATAATGATTAAGAAAAATAATCAGGTAGGAAATAGTAAAATAAAGCAATTAAAAGTCATTTAAGTAAAGCAGTTAAAAGTCAATATTTTTTTGCATTTTTAGAAAAGCTTTTAAACACTTAGAATTAGAATGAATATATTATATTTATTCTAAAACTTCAAAATTATTTCCTCTTTGTAGTACTGAAAAGGAGATATCACCATTTCAAACAACTGTTAAATCTTATATACATTTTCATAAACTTTGTTTTTTCATATTTTCAAAGGCCCCACTTATCTGTGATAGTGATAATTTTATTTATCTTATTGGCTAATTAATATATACATGCAACAATATACTTCAGTAGTCATCTAACTTTTAAAAATATTTCATTGTATTTTCATGTTAACTGGTGCAAGTATGGGCTTAAGGGAGTGGAACTATAGGAACAAGAAAATATTAAAAATATGCTCTTAATTTCACTAGTCCACTATATAGTTTATAGGTGTTTACCTTTAAGTTGTCACCCAACTGAATCCCTACTGAGAACTAACAAGTAAATGATTATCAAGAGGGAAAGAATATAATTAAAATAAAGAAAAAAGAAAAGCTCAAGTAAAAAGTACAAGCTACTAAAATTCAGCAAGAAGAGGACATCAGAGAATCATGAGTAGTTTACCAAACTGACATGATGCGATACTAGGGAAAGAGCCATTGGTGGGAAAGGTAGCCTCCACTAAGTAAAAGTCCATTTATCTTTGGCAGCTGGATTCAGTAGAACCTTACTGGGTAAGTTTAAAAATGTTATAATTTCAGGAAGAGGAATACATGTAATTGTATCTGTCTGCAACTTTCTATTTTAATAAGGAAAGAGCAAACGGAAAAAACAACATAGGGCTTTCTAACCAAAGTATGAACAAAATGCAATTTTAATGTGGAATGTCAGCACCGAAAACTTTCATGAATAATCTGTATGATTCTATGTCTCTAGAGTACATTTATAATTAACTGCTCATCTAAATATCCTTTATGCTTGCAAACTACTCCCTAATTAGTGGCTGAGCAGGCAGGAGGACTTCTCAAGAATAGAAAAAGAGATGACCAACTCTACAGGGACTTTTTAAGATTCTGTAGGACCTCAGCCATTCATTAAAACTGCTGTGGTCCTATTTGCTGGAGTCCCTCACTGCACAGGGAGGCCTATGGACTGCCATGGATCTCCTGGGTCCTGTCCCAGGCAAGATCCTCTCCTAGGGTAAGTGTGGATTATCCCACAGGCAATGATAAATTTATGATTTTAATATTTTCATATATCTTTTGACACCCACAGCACACTGTAAAGAATGGCAGTGCCTTTATATCAAAGAGGAAGCATCTAGATTGGTATGCATGGGGATGGGGCAGGGGCCATACAGCCTAGCGGCTAAAACTGTAGCCTCTGAAATATGACTGCCTGGACTTGAATGCTGGCTCTGCCACTCACTAACTGCATGACCTTGGGCAAATTACTTAACTTTTCTATGCTCCAGTATCCTTATATGTAAAATGAGGAAAATAACTACCTCTGTCATGGGGTTGTTGTAAGTACTGAATGGGAAAATACAAGTAAAGTGCTTAAAACAGTGCCTGGCAGGTTATAATCCATCCATGAATGTCAGTAAAATCCTGTACCATTTGGAGTATGACTGGCTAAGGTGCAACAGCATAGATCAGCTGACAACTCCTTGTGTGTAAACGTAACACTTTCCCTCTAACTAGAAACAATTATAAGATTCCCAAGATTGGTACTAGGTGAGAAAGATCAGTTTTGGAGGCCAGATGTTACTGTCTTCTCCCTGATCAGTATATTAATATGCAAATAAAACTGCTCTGTAGCAAGATAAAGAATAAAATCTTTCATGAGGTACACATTATCAGTATATAGTTCATATCTCCAATGCATTCTAAACATAATTTCAAGTTCAGTTTGTCTCTTTGTGTTTGTTTATAAATCACATTGGTTCATACAATTGATTACATTCTTCAAACCCGATCTTATGAAAGAAATATAGGGATTTTAACCATGCACCCTTTCCTAGATGCTAATGTAATGTGTCCTTTCTTAAAAATAATGCATGGTTATGCATTTCTATTTCTTAAGCTAGATAATAATTAAAACCTTACTGAAGCTTCAGAAAAGAAATATATCTATTGAATTATATTAAAACTTAAAGTTCTGGGCTTCCCTGGTGGCGCAGTGGTTGAGAGTCCGCCTGCCGACGTAGGGGACACGGGTTCATGCCCCGGTCCGGGAAGATTCCACATACCGCAGAGCGGCTGGGCCCGTGAGCCATGGCCGCTGAGCCTACGCGTCTGGAGCCTGGGCTCCGCAACGGGAGAGGCCACAACAGTGAGAGGCCCGCATACCGCGAAAAAAAAAAAAAAAAAAACACTTCTGCTGGTGTGCAAAGTTTTTTAACGTTATGTTGTATCTATATTATTAACTACAAATATTTCTGCCTGATTATGGAATAAAGTTTGTTAAAATAACAATAGCCTTACGATTGTACAAAACAAAACAAAACATACCTACATTTCAACAATAAGTTGACATTGGCAAAATGTGACATTAGTGAAAATAAATTTGAAGAAAATTCTACCACTAATTCAGCTGAGATTTCACTGAAGAGGTATCAGCCCATAGCAGTTTGACAGTGCACTTGCAACTGAAGATAAAGGAAGTCATAAAAATAATGGCATGAGGAGAACTTTATATGGCATCAGGGAGCACCATTTATCATCACATTACTGTAACCCTCTCTGGTGAGAGATGAGGAACTGCTCCTCCAATACCTTCTTCTAGAAATTGGCTCTTTTCCCAGCCTTTTTTAATTCTCTTTAGCTTTCGGCTTATACATGGAAGGAGTAAAATGATCTTACCCAGAATTACAATTGAGGGCAAAACAAGAGCAAGAACAAAGTTTGGTGGTGTATAAAATCTGTAGTACTCTTCTTCAAAAGCTCGTTTCCATCCATAAAGTAAAACATGGAAAGTACTTATGAGCAGAGCAACATAGCCAAGTGTAGACTTGAGATAGGGGAGGAAGAAAAAGAAACAGAATAAGAAGCAAATTATTCAAACTCATAAATTAACCTATCCAGATATACCAAGTTTATATTTTGATAACACTATTTTATCTTAAATTACTGAGTTACTCTTTGTTCTCTACTGCATTAAACAATTTTAGTATTTTCATCTATTTCTTATATATTTATATGCACTTTTTTTACCCAAATAAGGCTGTATTGCATATAGCCTATTCTGATTATTTATCACATCCAGAACCTTTGCCTCATGGCATTAAATATGAAAACATGACTTTAATGCTATATGATATTCTATTGAATGGATGTGCTATAATTTACCTAACCATTCCTTTTTGTTGATCATTTACTCTGTTTCCTACTTTCCTCAACTATAATGTCACTTTAAGCCCTTTTCTATATTTTGGTTTATTTCCTTAGAATTGATTTCTAATAGTGGGATTACTGGTCAGAACATCTGGGTTTTCCTTAAGGACACTGACAAAAACTGGAAAACTCCTTTATAAAAGTTATCCACATTTCTACCAGTTGTGTATATATTTTTTTAAATGTGTGTATATAATACATGTATACATACATATATACACATGTATATAATAAAATTAAATGCTGAAGAGCATTTTGTTAAGTATACACACACATACATACTAGTTGAAGATAAATATGAAAAATCTTACAGTATTAATATGTAACATAAAAAGCATTTCAAATGGCTTTATCAACCATATTAAATAAGATTATTAACAGCACTTTGTTAAACAGTTCACAGGTTAAAATCAAAAAGTTCAGCATTTTGGGTTCCCTACATTATGTTTAATTGCTTATTTAAGAAATGGTCTGTGTTACACAAAAGGTAGTATTACATCGACATAATAATGTAACTTCTAACTTCACTGGGGAAGGGTCAACTCTATCGCAGAAAACTGTTCTGCTTGCAATTACTCATCTAAATTTATAATGATACTTTGCACCTGTCTAGCACCTTTTATCAGTGGGCCTTCTATTTCTTTTCAGGTGTGATTAAACTAGCAGTTGGGAAAGTACTCACATTTTATTTCCCTCAAAAAGGAAAAATGAATTTAGACGAGGGATATGCCCTTAATTTGAATGAAATTTTTAGATCACTTAAAAAAAAACTCAAGCGAATAGGCAAAAAACAAAACTAAAAACAAACAAAATTTAGTGTACCACCAAATGACACTCATCCGCATATTGTGCTATAAACCATTTGGATACAACCAATACTTATTTTATGGTAATTTAGGTAGGGTCTCAGTTTGAGTTATATATTTTTAAAGTATGCAAATGTATTAAATAGCTATTACTGGAGAAAGTGAATGTTTAACTTGTCAAAGAACACAATGTTATCTTGAAACCACTTTGTAGACAGTCATATACATATGTATACAACTGATGTACCAAATACATATACTAACAAGAATGATAAGGCTGGTTGCTTGCCATAATCCATTAACTACCACTTGTGTTTGTGTGTGTATACACATTTCCTTTAAAATATTCAAACTGAGCTTCTCTCCAATTGAATTACAATGAATGAGAGTTTTCTAGACAGATCAAGATGACTCAAAATATAAAGTAAGTCTTCATTCATTTGCCCAATAATAAACTGACTTTGGTATTAAACTTGATCTAAGTTCATTCATCCCCCCAAAATTTAGTGTACCACCAAATGACACTCATCCGCATATTGTGCTATAAACCATTTGGATACAACCAATACTTATTTTATGGTAATTTAGGTAGGGTCTCAGTTTGAGTTATATATTTTTAAAGTATGCAAATGTATTAAATAGCTATTACTGGAGAAAGTGAATGTTTAACTTGTCAAAGAACACAATGTTATCTTGAAACCACTTTGTAGACAGTCATATACATATGTATACAACTGATGTACCAAATACATATACTAACAAGAATGATAAGGCTGGTTGCTTGCCATAATCCATTAACTACCACTTGTGTTTGTGTGTGTATACACATTTCCTTTAAAATATTCAAACTGAGCTTCTCTCCAATTGAATTACAATGAATGAGAGTTTTCTAGACAGATCAAGATGACTCAAAATATAAAGTAAGTCTTCATTCATTTGCCCAATAATAAACTGACTTTGGTATTAAACTTGATCTAAGTTTCATTCCCCCCCCCTTTTTTTTTTTTTTTTTTTTCTTTTTCAAATAACCTTTATCTGTAACATAGTAGGCAATACTATCAAAGCTTTCCAGTAAAGTCCTGTACTGGTCTTTCACTTACTAAACCAGAATGGTCCTAAGCTGGCCTCTAGCGACATACATTCCACGAGCTAGATGCATGAACAGCAGTCCCCGGGGCACTCTTTTATTAGCAGCATATTTAAAATCCAACTGTACTTAACTGGAATTAAAAATCTATGCCACCCAGTCCCTCACCAAACAAACCCCACATACCTGAATGAAACTGAATTCCCTCCAGTTTAAAGCATTGCTCACTGAAGGGATGGAGGTGACCGCTAGGAGGGAAAGTAAGCCAAGGCTCATTATACCAAAGGAAATATACATTTCAACTCTCCAAACTTCTTCCTCGTTCCAAGAGTTTTCAATATTTGCATGAACCTAACAAGAAAGCAAACGTGAATTTCCTTTGTTTGGTAGAATATTAACTGATTCAGCACAGAGTTCACTCTTGGCCTAACAATATGTCATATATTGACAGAACATTTGAGTTGCACTAATTCAATTTAACAAACTGTTATGGAGAACCTATTACTGGATGGTATTGTTCCAGGTGTGCGGGAAAGAGAAGGGAGAGGGCTTAAACAAAAAGAGGGCTAAGATTCTCTCCTTCCTCACCCACATGTGAGAAAGGTGGGTAAATCTGTCACCACATTTGTAATACATCATGGTGACAGGGACTCTGGAGTCCCAAGACCGTGAAATACTGAGTGGTTGGTTCCAGAGGGACACAAAAGAAGTGCTTGGCAGTTAGACTTAGTTTTCTGGTGCTTTTACAAGTTAGTTTAAACTTGGTTGAATATTTTGGGTACATTCTGGCCTTAGTTCAATTTAGAATCCAGGCAGGGAATTTCTAAACTACGTCTGTGCCTTCCTTTCTTACTTGAAGATTATTTACATGTTGATTTACCTCTTCTTACCTTCTTTTCCCCAGGAAGCTGAGACTTCCCTGAGGATAAAGCCCTAAGGAGTGCAAATACTTATCCACTTGAATGGCCTCATTATTATACTTTCCAACTGTCCAGTTGCCTCATTCAGTACTTTCCCTTACATTGATAATGCACATATAATCAAGCCAGAGTTTAACTCTGAATTTGTTGTATTCTGCATAGGGACTACTTTTAGAATTGTCTATTTACATTCAAACAATATAATTAGAGTATAAATCAAGGCTTGGATTCCTTGGGTTAAAGCTTTGGTTTAAGTAATCTATTCATGGAAAACATTCTAACTTAACACCAGCTTAACTTTTTGTCCAATTCCAGGTAACCAAACATACTTGAAATGAAAAAAAAAAAAGAGAAAAGATATTTCTTAGCCATTAGTTCCCTGAAGCAATCATACCAACACCCTGAAAAGAGCCACAGAGCTTCTCTGTGGATAAAGGCTCTTATTCTCATTTGGTGTCTATACAACAATACAGAATAACAGCATACTCCAGTATACCTGGAGATTACAACCTGAATCTATCTACAAGCCCTCCCAATTCATCCCTTTGTTCCATGAGTATGTTTTTTGAGTGTCTACAATGTGTCAGGCACAGTTCCATGCATTAGGCATATATCAGTGAACGAAACAAAGGTCCCTCCTCTTGTGAACTTACATTATGATGAGAGAAGGCAGAGAACAGTAAATAAACAAAGAACAAAAAGTGTCTTAGAAGGTGGTAAATACTATTGAACAAAGAGAAAGAAGAGCAGGTAAAGTAAGGGGCTGAGAGTACCAGGGTTGAGTCAGAAGCAGGTGGCAGAATGTAAATTGGTGTCCAAACTAAGGCCTCACTGAGGAGGTAAGAACTTGATGGAAGAAATTTTCACATATTAGGTATAGGGGAAGTCATTCTGGCTTATACACGATTTGGCTTGAACTTTATGCTAATTAGAACAGCCTGTCTTACGGCCTGTCAAACATACATTGGATATCAGCTTTACCATTAAAGAGAAGAATGTTGCCCATCATCAAGTTATACAAAGGGTTCAGTCACAACCCACTGTCAGTTGACAGCGGGCCCTGACAGGAATTCAGGAGGAAAAAAAACAGGATGAGGCTTTCTGTGCTTTGAAATATTGGCCCCTAGGTAGTTAAGATGCATATCTTAGGAAGAATTTCAATGACCCCAGATTCTTGCATATTCCCATATATAGAAAAGCACTAAAATCATTAACTTGAGATATCTGTTCTTTGTGATTAGCAGTAATTCTTTATCAAAGATGTATGTTTGACTACACTTATTTCCTAGCCAAAAAATTCATATACACACTGGCTCCTTCCCTGCCTCTTCAAAATAGTCCCCTCAGAGCTATTGAGAGGTTGTCTTCAGTTTGGCGCAAATAAAACTCTCTTCTATTCTTATTATTGATTGTTTATTGATTATTTGTGTCAACAAAATGAAGACTTGAAGGAGGTGAGGAAGCTGGTGGAGTAGATATCAAAGCCTTAGTATTCATTTAAGTGGTTATTTTTAGAGAGAATGGCTTAAAGAACATCAATCTAGTAATTTTTTCAAATTATTTTAGCTTTTATTGTTGAAACAAGTGTAAGTACTAGATGCTACATACTTGGACCATGATGCCTTGGTTTCTTATAAAATGCAAAAAGCTCTTACACATTTGTTTAGTACACACACGGCCCTCTGCTTTCACTGAGAAATGCTACATCAAAGAGCTTCAGTGAAACCCCTTACATTTGCTGAATGGAAATTATTGAGGAAAATCATAGTCTATTCCATCATCAAGCCCCTTCTATGAAGCTCTCCCAGAGATTTTCTTGAAGAGCTAAGTGCTAGAAAAGGTTCACCTGAGGAAGCAGTATCTTTCCTGCTTTATGATAACAAAAACCTTGTGTGTCTCCTGATCTTGACTTCCTATTCTGTTTTATATTTTCACTAGTTCTAATTTTATTGTGTATGTTTACCGAGAGCTGCCTTATTATTTCATGGAACATGGACAATTATAAAATAATTAACTGATGCTGAAAGTAATCACTGCAATTGTAACATTAAAAAAAGAAAACAAAACCCAGCTCTTTCTGCAAAGAAAGGGATAGTAGCAGCTTTTATTCTAAATGATTCTGAATTAGCCGCATAATTCTTGTGCAGAAACATTGTTTAAAGAACAATTCTTTCTCTTCCCTAAATATACCAAAATTTCTATTACAAGGTATGTAAAGCTTTACACTGTTTTAAATCTCACGTTTTACAAATTCTAATAATCACGTATTTTACTAGCATCAGATAAATAACAAGCACGTCCCATACCTGCTGATAAGCCATGTTGAGAAACAAGTATCTTTCTGACCTCCTCATTGGTAAGCAGAGGCTGTAGGCAACATGGACTGAAGCGAAGAAAAAGCTTAGTAATCCCAGCTGTTTTCTACACTGTAACCAGGTCTCCAACCAAGGTGGAAATCTCCTATACTTGGTGCCATAATAAAGCTGATAAGCAGCTGCTAGGAGACCTGCCAGGTACACCAGGGACAGCAAAGTAATGGCAACTATGGGCAAGGTTTTATTCACAATTTCAATAGGAATCTTGTAAAAGTCACTCTGCTGGTTTCTAATGTATGGATGAATCACATCTCTGACAAAAGAATAAAGAAAGAAAAACGTGGCCAGGCTTATGGCTACCACCACTGGCCCTCTCCAGAGAGTAAATAGTCGCAGGGGTAAATTTTCAATCTCCCTGGCTGATGATAATGATCCCAAGTCAATGGGAATAAAATTCAACTGACGGGCAAGTTCAATAACCTGTTGTCGAGCTTGAATATTGTTGCTGCATATATAAACCTATGGAAAAAACAGAAAACTCATCATTACTATGATTGCTTATAAAAATGGTAACAATCACACGCTCCATTTAATCCACAAAGCATCACTTAGGATGACCCTGCGTGATACAAAAAAATTAAGGAGATAAAGCATTCATTAATTTATTAATCTATTTATTTATAGGTTAAAATAGTATCATAAAAACAACAAAGTCCTTGCTACCATCAATGACATGAAAAGAAAATGCAGAAAAATCTAGCCTGAACCTGGGAATAGAAGTTCTTAGGGGAAGGGAGGCGGGAGGAGAGAAAGATTTCTGGATTACCAGGTTCTGAGCAGACAAGGTAAGGTCTTCCCTCCAACAGTCTAGGTGGAGTTTGAGCTGCAGGCCATGCCCCGCCCCTTTCCAGCTCTCTCACTCCTGCAGGGAACCTGGTGAGGCTGGCTCTCCAGGCTTTGGTGGACAGTACTTAGTTCTAGGACTGTAGTGATTCTGCCCAGTAGAGTGATTTCAAGCATTGCCCTTTATGGCTATTCAGCAAGGGAAAAAGATAAGCATGGATTCTGAATGGTTGAATTTGTAATTAAAACCTCTAAATGATATCATGATGCTATACTATTTATAAAATTTAACTTTTGGCTTAGAAACCAATTCACCAAAACCATGGATAATCTCAGGTATATTATTTCATTGGTTAGAATTATGAAATTCTTTCATCTTTAAATGAGGATAATATATTTGGTGGGGAAAAAATAGCATTAATAGGCTTAGTTAACTTAAACAGTAAAGTAACTGCCATTTTCTAAGAGCTGTTACCTCTATAGGAACTCTAAGATGGGACTGTGATCAGTGCGGGTGAGGGTGGGCTTTCAAACTACCAAAACCTCTTAGATATTGTAATGTAATTGAGGATTCACAAATATTTGTTGAACACCAGGTTCACAAGTTCCTGGCTGGAGTGAGCCAGGATTAGAGTTAGAAAAATTTTGCTATTAAATCTCTGAGCTATGTTTAGGGAAAACAAATTCCTAAATGTATCCCTGAGGATGTTTATATAAAGGCTCTGAAACAGACCACACTGAAATGCTTGCCTACTAAACCTAGTTACATAATGGTGAGAATGTAGAGCTCTTAGGATTATTAATTTTATCTAACATTAACCATATAAATGACAAAGTCTATAGTATTATACAAATGTTCATGAACTTCTAAAATGGAGCAGGGAAGGTGGCAAAATATATACCAAAGAGGTAAGGAAAAGCATTCTCAAATTTATTACAAGTGTGACAATGGTGGATTAAACTGTTTTTACTTCACTGGGAAAAAAACTACAAATTATAAAATTTTATAATAAACCTAAAAGAATAAATCAAACCTTCATAAAGCCACAAGGACTACAAAATACAAATGAAACTCTTTCTGTAGCTCACATTGAACTTAGTCTCTTGTTCTACAATTTCTTTTGTTGAATAATTAAAATTATCACAAATATGGGCAAAGGATTAAATTCAGGTTTATCTCTAATTTGCTAGATTTGTATCCATTGCCAAACCTTGGTTGATATGCAAAAGAAAAAAAGGATTCAGAAATACTCTCTAGGAAAGTAAGAAAGTATACATTCTTCCAAATTAAACACTTGAAAATGAATGGTTATCATGACTCTGATATGCAGCATATAGTGATGTAATACTTGAATTTATTTTCTTAGACATCTAATCAACTGTCTTTATGGACAAAAATAAAAGTATTTTATCATCATGCTTCATTATAATGCATAACCACACTTTTGAAAGATTTTTAAGGTGCACTATTTTATGTGTTTACGTATAAAAGCTCCCATTCCACAAAAGCATTGATGGAGCTCCCCATCTGCTTTATTCTCAAACTGAACTAAACAGAACTCATAGATTAAAGGAGAACCTGAGAAATCCAATCTGCTTCTACCTTCCCCACGCAGATTGAAATCTACCCTTAAAATAAAACAAACTGGACTATTTAAAATTCTATGAATAATCTACATAAAATAAAAGGTTCTTCTAAAGCATTCTTCTTCAGGATCATACTACATAGCACTTCGCTCAGAGGTGGGATACTGTTTACCAAATAGCTTCAAGGAAGGAGGAAGGGAGGATGGAAGGATGGGTGGGAGGGAGAGAGGGAAAGAAAAAAGACATGATTGAGATTGTTTTAATATTTGAGGAAGCAAGGAGATGGCCCATTATTCAACTGCCAACCTTGCCTTTTTCTTGAATTAGCTGATTATGACAGGAATGTTCCAGTTATTTTCTCAGCTTTTCACATCATTTTGGGAATAGAAATGTGCCCTTACAAGGTCAGGACACAAATCTTCAGGAGCTCATACATAGTTTTCAAAATGATAATCATTGGAGAGTGTCAAAAGTCAATTTTTAAATATATGATATTTGTTTTAACTATTTCAGTACAAAATACCATCTAATTAAGAATAAAAGTTAAAAATACATACTTGTCGGCTGGCATCCTTTGGTCCTAACTGAAGTGCCCAAGCTGAGATAACATTAAATCCTTTCACAATCAAGGAGTCTGGGAATAATGAAGCCAAATATTCTGCATTGGATTCTGGGTATTGGTTTATCCTCATGTTATTGCTCACATCAATCAGGATTTTACCCACAAGCAGATGTCTCAGGTCCCACAGGGAGGTGTAATGTTCTCTATGTATAGCAACAAATATTATATTTGTTTTTATTAGAGCATCTTCATGGTGAGTAACATCTACTACATGAGGAAAAAATTCAGAAGCAAACTTAGGATTTCTGCTTCCTATGACCACATGATAGCCACATCTAATAAGTCGAATGGTCAGGGATTTAGCAAAATCCCCACTTCCAATTACACCTACGGTGACCTTCCTTGCATCTTTGATACCATTTATGCCATTAGGCAAAAACGTTTCGCTAAGGCTCTTGGGGCTTCCCATCATAGAGATCGATTCCATGATACGGACTCTTCTAAGATCACCAGGGATATCCTAGGGGAGAGAAAATAAAATGCTCATCAATTACCTATTACCAAACATGAATACACTTCTAGATGTTATAACAACATCCCTTGTTTCTAGAGGTAAAATAGTTTGGCAAGCTATATAGCCTCGAACACTGCAAGACACAATTTGTAAGCTAAAAATGGATCTCGAAATAGAAAAATGACCTGTCACAAAGTTGATGTTCTAAAGTGGAGCTTCTCAAATTTTAATGCGTACTTAAATTACCTGAGAATCTTGTTATAATGCAGATTCTGATTCAGCAGGTTTGGAGTGAGGCCCAAGATTCTGCATTTCTAATAAGGTGATGCCAATGTTGCTGGTCTACAGGCCCCTCTTTGAACAGCAAGGCTCTAGAGTGCAAAAGGAAAGAGACTCAGGTTTTCAGCAAGGGAGAACTTTTTAAAAAACACAGTTCTAACAAGTGTGATTATCCAGTTTCTCAGCAGACCAGAGGCAGCAAGTCAGAAATGCCACTAAAGGTAGAGAAGGACTATAACAGTTCATCATAGCTCACAAGACAACAGAAAACAGAAAAACAATAATAAAAACCAAGAACTTATTTATAACCCCAAACTGTCTACAGTCATTTGTGATGGGGTCTACCTCAGTAGCTAGTGAGGGACTTTATTACTAAATGAGAGTAAGCTAAATCAGCTACTAAAGAATGAAACCTTGCACTTAAATAATATTTTCAGAAAAGTAGGCATCAAAATATAACAAAGAATTAATTAAATACAATAGACTTCCATCATTCACCCTATGTCCTATTAACTTATCATAGAGAAAGACAGCTTCCCTGTGTAAAGGGGGTTAATAATGTGTTGATGGTCTTAAAGTACACAGTACTTATGAAATCTTTTTCTTCCCGGTTTTTATTTTCCATTGGTTACATACAACATGATGCAGTTATTTTTTCTGGAAAAATCTGTCAAATTCTTTTCTGAGTGACTAACACCTTATAGGCTCATATTTGTTGTAACTTGCTCAACCATACCAATCAGATCACCGTGAATCAGTGTCACTGTTGGGTCTGGATAAAAAATACTCTTCCATTTTATCCGCAATGCACCATTTCTTTTATGCTAACAGCAGATGTGGATCACTTCAGAGAACTTAATGGATTTTACAGGAACAGGTGGAATGTTTTAAAAAACATTTTGGGGGGTTTTTACTAAATGAGATTTGAAATTACTGGAGCAAGGAAAATCCAACTTTTTACCCTAGAACTGGAGCATATTCAATGACTCCAAATACATCAGTAAATTAATCTTTAAAAAGATAATAATATTACCTAATACTCATATAGCATACACTGTGCCAGCTCTGTTCTTTACAAATTAACTGAGTGAATCCCCACAACTACCCTATGAGATAGGTACTAATACTGTCATGCCCATTTTGCAGATGAGGAAACTGACACATGCAGAAGATAATTTGTACAAGGTCACAAGAGAGAAACTAGAGGAACCAGGATTAGAACCCAGGCAGTCTAGCTAAGGTATGTGTCATCTGGGTGCGTGTAAGGAATTTAAGGAAGATATGGGGGCGGGGGCAAGGTGGAAGAGTGATGGTTGTGTTCATATTAGTGTATTCTCCTTCTCTGGTGATGTCGTTGCTCCTTAGCATTACCTACTCATCTTAATGTCTAACTTGGATCTTGGGAAAGGAGAAAACTCACTATTTTTTAATCTATTACATGTTTCATTTCATACTTTTCAAGATATAAGGGGTGATAATTCTTTCTTTTCCCTTGGAGTGACCCCATACACCCTGAAAGGCAGGTGGGGGTCAGAGGCGTCAGGGTAGTAGAAAACTGTCAACATCTTCTTGGAGATATTGTTGGCCACTTGGAGAATCAGGAACAGTTAAAGGAATCAGAAGTAATTAAATCAATGCTCATTTCATTAAACAATTCAAGGTGAACTGGCCAACCTACCCCTAGTCATATACATTATCTAAGGGTAAAAAGAGTTAACTAAGACTCACACACCAGAAACCAAGCTTCCTATATCCCAGTCCCAAGTTCTTCTGAGTAGAGACTGTAGCATCTCCCCAAACGTAAGAATTTCAAAATCTTTAAATGTAAGAATCATGATGATCAAGACCTTTTCAAATGAAAAACAAAAACAAAACAGTATCACTTATCTGCTTATTTTACAAAGCAAGTTCAAACCCCTTCTGCACATCAGAATGTGAATAGGTTAAAATACATTAGGGCCTAATAATGTCATCTCTGGGTACCTCATTATACCCTGTATTTGATACATATTAATAAGTGACTCTGTCCTAACATGTCTGGGCCTTATTCACATTGTATTTCTAATGGCAAGTTCTGACTGTGCCTACAAATAGAAGTTGGCCTAAAAAATGAGACTCTTTTCATCAATGTGTTAAGGAATGTAAAAGCATTCATGAGAGGAAAAAAAGAAACAACCTTTAATAGATCTGAGAGATGGATTATTTGTGTATTGCTGAAAGCATATAATAATACTATATGCTTGTGTGCTATTTCATAGTTCACAATATTTTCACATATATTACCTTATTTAATTCTCAGATGGCTGTGAAGTACATATTATGCCCATCTTAAAGATGAGGAAAGAGAGGCTTAGAGAACCTTAGCAATTTATCAAAGACAGTACAGTTGGTAGTTAACACAAGGCTTCAAATACGAGTCTTTTGACCTCTGCTCATTCTAATATTGCAGTGCAAACACCGTATGGGGAATCTTAAAACGGTCTAGATCACCAAATGTCACCCATTAACTTTATTCTCCAAAAGAAATACTAACTCTAAATTGTTCAAACTTAGGATAGTTTTAGGTAAATCCAAAGCTATAAGGTTAGGAATTCTAGCTACCAGTCAATCGTTCAAATCAATCAATCAACAATAAATCCAATTTTTAGATCAAAACCAACCAAAGACCTAAATTTATTAATACTACAAAACAAAACATGATTGGTTGATGGGTATCTCTCGGAGAACCCCCAGATAGCAACTCATTTTCTTTTGGGGCTCTGCAAACACTGTGAAGGTGTGTACTGCTTCAAGAGGGAAGGGAAAAAGAGCCGAGAAGTATGTCCGTATCCTGTGGAACCCATCCGTACACAGACTTAAAAGCAATGCATCTCCACAAACTATGGGAGCTGAGACACTGGAGCAAAACCTCATCAATCACTTTACAATTTGCTAAGCCATCATTTTGGATCACTTGATTAACAGCTGAGTTGAAGTTTACAATCATGATATCCATAAAAAAATGGGGTTATAAGAAGTGAATTATGTCAATAGCTGAAAAAGGTTTACCTATTTACAAAATAAGAGTAATAAGCACCTTACATTGTACATTTCCACTGACAAGGAGTGATGCAACTATAATCTAAAGGCAGATCTACTCTGCTGTGATCCAGCGTGAATTTATCCAGGCCACTGTGTGCTTTGCACATAAGAGATAAAGAAGAGAAGCATGGTGCGTACACTTAAGGAGTTTACATTCCAGTTAGGAAGAGACAGTATGTACTGGGAATAAAAAGCAGAAAAAAACCCCTCATATCAGCATATAATTAAGAACTAGACTGTATGATCAGAGCATAGTTATTCTAGAAAATCAGGGAGAGAAAAATATCACATGGTGTTCCCTTACCTCAAGTCATTCTATATATTTATGAATTGTACTTGGGAAATAATCTCTAAATTACACAGAATGTCTTCAAGCCAGGTTCATGACAGTACACTACAGGCTCATTCTAGCTTAAAACCATAAGGATCCAAAATTAAATTTGGCTTTCCGTGACCTTACTTTAAAAGGGCTAAGGCACTGGTTCCCAAAATATGAAGCTATCACTGGTTGACAGCAATTAAAAAGTATATGGATACAACAGGGCGTTTTTCATAAAATTATTCAATTTAACAAATTGTCCTTTACTCTGAGAGTATCTCTTAACTACTGGTCAAAATGTCCTTTTTTTCATGAAAGGATAGTGATAACAGCTGTTTGAGTTGGCAGTCCTATATAGATCCTCTCCCTCTCCTTTTTATTTTACTGGTCTGACATTAGGAAACTCTATATAAAGTGCACCTTAAGCCTGTTGGAGAGAAAACATTTCTGGGGAGGGGAGAAAAGCACCTTGGAACAAACTTCCTGCTGCTACAGATGTCTGCTTAATCCTCAGCTGAAATATCAAATATCCCAATCTAATTTTCTGTGACTAAATTGTGATTCTTACCATCATGATCTACATTCCCTACATTCTCAGCATTTAAATAAACATATAAAACCCAACTGTTTATAAAAAATAAAGTATTTCTTTGAGGGAAGAGGTGGGGTTTTTCTTTAGGTTTTTATGTTTTGGAAGAAATTCTTAAGCCCTTTAGACAATGCCAGAAGCAAAGCTGCAATTCTGCTTGAAAAATTAGAATGTGATTTCTTAACGCATGGTCCCTGAACCAGCGGCATCAGAATCACCTAGGAACTTGTTAGAAATGTAATTTCTTAGGCCCTACCGGAGACCTCCTAAATCAGAAACCCTGGGAGTGGAGCCCAGCAATCTGTATCATAAAAAGCCCTCAGGTGATTCTGATGCACATTAAAGTTTGAGAATAACTGTCCTAATATAATGCAGTCCAATCACTATTCGCTATTTGAATATTAAAATCCACTTAAGTCAGACTATTAAATTCTTTCCCTCAGCTGAAACTTTTGGGTAATCTGTATGCATCCTCATTTAAAAATCACTTTCCAAAAATTACAAAATAGTAATTTTATTAAAACTATGCAGATCTATTCTTTGAAATTCTGTTTATAAACTATGGTAATTACAAATGATTCATTAATATTTCATACTTGGATCTGAGTGTCTTTTTGCGTTAATGTTTTATAGAACCAAAAGATTTTCAGAAAATATAATAGCATTAAAGCAAAAGTCTGACTAACTCCAAGACTCCCAGACTTTTCAAATAACCAGAATTTTAATGAGATATTCAAA